ACTTAGTGCTTTTATTTTATTGCATATAATAATTGCATATATATTATTTAAGTAAATTATATATTAATTAAAAGCGAATAGATAAGATAATGAGTAGACTTAATGCTTTTGTACAGATGAAGATTATAAATGATTAATTTTGTAACTTAGTAAAATATCAATTTTCTTTTAGCATTAAAACTTCTCACATGTTTTTTTATTATAATAAACCATATTCTTTTTTGAGTACCTAATTAGGAATTGGTAGAGAAACATCTCTTTTATTACACACACACACACACACACACACACACACACACACACACACACACACACACACATACATATATAGTCGTATTAGACGTGAGACGAAAGGAAGGTAAAAGGTTGTTTCTTTGACACTAGCGATCTCGAGGATGGTAACTCGTGGGCGTAATTGTTACATCATGGATCTGTGGAGAACGAATAAACGGTCCTCCACGAAGCGGCGACGATCGAAGGAGAGGAACGCGAGGCAGGAAGGAGACGAGGAAGGTATGCAAGGCACCAGCGGGACCCTACAATAGGCGGCATTAAATCTGCAAAAGAGAGGTGGCTCGCTGCTCGCGGCGCGGAAAGCGACGAGGTGGAGCGGAATCGAGGCGCAAAGGAAGCAGATACAATTCACAATGGACTCGGCGAACCGGCGCGAAGATCAAACGCCACCCCAACGGGAATTACCGACGTCCATAACTGACGTGAAACGACTAGTGTTAAGAGTTAGATCACTTCGTGCGTCTGCATCTACGTTGATCGTATTGCGTTACCGTCGAAACACGGGCCGCGATGATTCTGCCTTTTCGGTTATCTTTCGCGTCTACGTGTTTCATGTTTGGCGCAACATTTTTAAAATAAAAATACGTAATACGGAGGAATATCCGAGGCATAGAAATAGAATTTAGGATTAATACAATTTGTGCTTACGTATCGATGCACGTATATGCGTATATGTTCATAATGAATATATTTTATTATAGATATCTTATATTGCTTTTTTTTTCTTGGCATTTTAAAATGTGTTTAAATGTGTTTAAATTACAACACAGTCAACTATATAAAAGCAGTGTGGTAGCGTGAGGGTTGTATTTATTTGAATTGCTTAGATAAATAGTTAAAGATAAATTGTAAATAATTAAATTATTTCGACGAAACTTTTTTTGTATCGTATTGGTCTGTCAAATTTGTTAATCGTTAATATTTCCGGAATTATTTATTGAAACATATAGCCAATTGGCGAAATTAATCCCTGGTAACGCGATGAGATAATGTCTCAAATTGACGCGAGCTTTCTTTTAACAACATAAAGGGGAATGAATCTCAACGCTGATTCTGTAAGGGAAGACAAAGTATCAAGGACGTCGTTATTGGCCCCTGAGGCCACGTCGCGTATTGTTGTCACCGGATGAAACGAAGAATCACTGAATTTTATGAGATAAACGAGGCGAAGAGGCTGCGCGAATAAGTAATCCGTATGCTTTGGATTTTGATGGTCAAAGGGACTAAAGAACTTAAAGAGCTTAAAAAATTATGCACGCAAGCATATATTAAAATGACATGAAGAAGCTCATTATCTAATAATAGTTTTATATTATATATTCTCTTCTATAATAAAATATAATTATATAATAAATTCGAACATAAAAGAAAATATTGCTATAATAAAAATATGTTAATATTTTTTATTAAAATATATGAAAGTATTAAGTCATATTACACTAATGTTGCTTAAGTTAAGAAAT